CTTGGTTAAATTTACAAATGACAGGACCGCCTGCCTAAAAAGGATCCAGTCTTTAAAATAGTTCGAATACCGATTGGATAAATGGCCGACTGATCGTCTATCCTGGAAACAGACAACCAGTCGTCCAGGGGCATAGGCGGCGTGACTAACTATCCGTACCTGTCTTCAACTATCGGCCATGTAAAACAGTCGGTCTAGTGAACAATTAGATATTAAAATATTCAATACTTAGACAAATTTGAATCAAAACAAAAATTCATTAAAAGGAAGCCGGTCATTAAAGACCGGCAAAATATTCAGAGCCCCGGCCCCCTGGCCGGGTAAATACAAAACAAACGGCACGCAGGCCGTGGAAAGAATACATAAAGCTTAAGAATGGGGCAGATCTTCAATATTAGCAGCTGCCGCCTGGTCAGCACTCTTCTTGCTGGACTCGGCTTCAGCTGCATCCTTTTTTGATGCATTACCCCCAAGAGGCACAAGCGCCACTACCGGCTCCTCCTCCTCTAACGCTTCCTCCAACGCCTCTTCCTCAGCAGCCGCCAGGATCTCTTGATTATATGTATTAGAACACTGGCGGTACGTTTTTTCCCATGAGGCAAAGTCGGCATTGGGGAAGAGGCGGCCCCAAGTCATGCGCTGGATTTGAGCGGAGTCTTCCATCATCTCCCGGACCAGCTCTTTCTTCTCTTGCTCGGCCTTTTCCGAGAGCTCCTGAGTAAGACTCCTCTCCTGGGTCACCAGGCGTTCCTTTACGTTGGCCAAGGATTTCTCCAAGGCTTCGTATGAGTACATCTTTAGGCGAAGAGGTTTCAGCTCGGCCTTGAGATTTGTGATGGTCGCCTCCAGCTCGCCATTCCTCTTCTGGGCCGCCTCTAACTGAGCCCGAACAGTGGCGGTAGCCTGCGCCTGATAATAAAGAATATCAATGGTCAGAACTTCATTTTGGGCAATTTGAAACATTGCCTTATCACAGTCAGAGGCGGCCATAGCTTTTGCAGCCTTTACCTCTTTGTTCTTCCGGTCAAGCGGCTTGCGAAGGCCGTTCACTCGGAGCAGGGCCTAAGTACAAAGGAACAGGCGTCAGTTTCCAAACAAAAAGAAAACAGGCGTCCTGGAATTCAAATACTCAAAAATATGCTAAGTATACCTCAGCAAGGACCCCTGCAATCCCGTCTAGGTCAAGGGTGCCGACACCCCTGACCGCCTCCCTTTCAGCTGGAGGAACGGCCCTGATCATAGACTTGGCCACCTCTACCAAGTCAGGCTCCTGAGGGCCGGCTGCATCAAGCATAAACAAACGGATTAGACCTAGTAAAAAAGGGAGCAAGTCTAAAATTTACAAGGACAACTTCATACTTCTAGGCGGCCCAGTTGGAGTTTTAGAAGAAGTGGTCGGCTGTTTCTCAGCCGCCACCTATTTCCTGGCAGAACCAAGAGAGCTCGCAACAGTCGTCCTCCGGGCCTTGGGGTCCGGCTGTTGGGAAGATGAAGCTCTCGGAGCACCCGTCTAAAAAAGAAGAAAAAAAAGTCAGTATATGCATAAACACAACTCCAAAAAGAGGGTGAAAGGTTCGAAGCTCACCAAGGGTGCCCCCTTCTTGGGGGAGTCGGTTGAAGCTTGTTGCATGATGGAGGCCCGCAACATGGCCGCCGCAGTCTTGGAGGCGGTAATTTTGCTCATGGCGTCAGCTGCAAAAACAAACATCAAAGTTAATAAAAGTCATAACAAGAAATGTATGGAACAACAGAGTATTCGACAGGCCGACTACCTCTTGAGCACCGACTGCTGAGGCCACAGGCGGCCAAAAAGTACTCGTCGTAGAGCCATTTGAAGCTCGGGACGCAGTGCAGGGGTACTTGCTCTCGTACCCCTGAAGTAGAGTCGACCCTCGACTCTACTTTAAAGAGTCCTTTATCAAGGATCTCTTTCTTAGCCTTGGGGGGAACAGGCGGCATGCTACGGCCGCCTGCAAGAAGGGGCGGATTCCTGTTCCACCTATTGAAGCGCTTGTTCAGCTCAGTGTCTGAACTCTCAATGATGAGGAAGGTGCTCCGCCAGTCCTTCCACTTGTTTGCTTTACCTCTCGTCATGAGGTAGCCCCTGTGGCTTGTCAATTGATACCAGCCGGTACCGCCTGCCTTAGGGGTCCGCCTGAGATAGTTCATATGGGCTAAAGCCTCGAAGCTCGGCTCCACCCCGTGCAGTTCGCACCCGGCCACATAGCCGAGTACGTTGACCCAGGAGTTTGGGGCTAACTGCCATAACCCCAACTCATACCCATCCAAGATCCGCTGAACAGCCGGATGTAATGGGAAGCGCAGCCCTGCCTTGATGGCCGCCTCGTAGCAGCCAAAGCAGGCGCTATCATAACTGGTACCAGCCGGCCAGACGACTGTGTCTTCTGGATCCGGCACAAACACTAAAAAGTCGGGGCCCATTGTGTGGTTTGCGATAAAGCTCTCCACTTTCTCTTGCATGACTGTGATCCGGCCCCGAGGTACCGTGCAGTAGTAGGGGGTATTTTGCTCTTGGTAAGAGGCGGATGGCTCCGCCCAATTGTCCCCCTTCTCAACTGCGTGAGAAAGCCTCGCCTCTTGCAGGCGGCTGTTTTTCTCTTCTGTGTCCAGAGAAGCATGGCCAGAAGAGCTAGACTCGGAATCGCCCTCAGACGAGTCCGAAGAGGATGACTCCTCCCCTCTCCCGGAGGGGCCCGCCTCCTCTCTTTGAAAAGGAGCAGAATTGTTAACTGTTAAATGGGAAGGGGTCACTATGACTCCTCCCTCAGAATTGCCGGCTTTTAGGCCGCCTTGTTTCACTTCCACATCTGGCGCCTGGTCAGATGTTTCACTAAGCGGCACCCTGTGGGAGGAGCCGTCTGAGTTTGAGATCCTAGCAGTCTTTTTCGTTCTGGCCATCCTGCTCTGCATAGACACAGATACAGTCGGACTTTGTATAAAGGGCAAAGATGGGTCCGGAAAAGGGCAGGCGGCACTCCTAGTCCTAGATTCAGCCGTCCCCGGTGACCGGCTGATCACTAACCTAGGTCGTGTCGTGTGCTTCCGTGGTGCCATTTCAAAAAATTAAAAGAAAATTAAGAGTAAGAGAACCGACAATTACCTGAACGAGTGACGATTGATGAAGTGCTGGAAATCCTGTGCAGTCGGCTTGTCAGAACAGGCGGTAGGCAGAAAAGGTCCAAAATGTCAGAGCAAGTTCAGGGGTCCGAATGTTCTCTCACAAAGTTCTCAAGTGTGAAAATGACTCAAGACGACTCTCCCTTATATAGGCGAAGTGAGAAGGCGAAGGGTCACTTTCAGAATTCAAAATTTGGGCGGGAAAATCTCTCGGCCTTTCACCGACTGACACCTGTAGCAGGCCGTCGCCTGTTACAGTGCGGCACCTGTCACAGGTAACACGTGACCAGTCACGTGCCACCTGTGAGGGGCAAATGATTAGGGGATTTTGCTCCCACCAATCGGAATGCGCCACGTGGGCCAATCAGGTCCTGCCAAGTGTCCCCCAGTTGGAACTGTCAGGGCTTGCCACGTGGCACGCGCTTATTCGTCCACCTTGGACCTATTATGTCATGACACGTGGCATACTCCATGCCTAATGGAGAAACCGGCCACCCAGGCCCAATTTCCGAGGGAAGCCCAACCGGCCCTAGGTTAACCTAAACCTAGGATTGGCACGTTTCCCAAGGTTATAAATACCTCCCTTAATCCTCATTAAGGGGGAATTACGGAAAAAACACATTAAACACTCTCACCTAGAGAGACCCACTCACTTTAATTTCCGCATTAATTACTCCTTAATCAAGTACTAACTTGTCCGTTGGAGGCGGAGCTCCCACCACCAGGAGTCTCCGTTATTTTGCAGGTACAGGCGTCCGGTTCCAGTCTCGGAATTGTAACTCTCCCGCAGGACATCAGAAAACCCCGAAACACTTATAGATATCTTAGTTTAGAAATAACCGAGATCTCAGAGGACATCCTGATTATGGATTGAGATGAACTGGCAACCTACAAGCAAGCGATGGCAAGAATCGACTCTGCTAAATGGCATGAGGCCATGAGATCTGAAATTGATTCCATGTTTGAAAATCAAGTCTGGGACTTGGTTGACTTACCCGAAGGTTATACACCTATCGGATGTAAGTGGATTTTCAAGATGAAAATCGACAAAGATGGAAATGTATTCATTTACATAGCTATATTGGTGGCAAAAGGTTATAGACAAGTTCATGGTATTGATTACGATGAAAGCTTTTCACCAGTCGCAATGCTTAAATCTTTTCGGATCCTCCTAGCGATTGCTGCATATTATAACTATGAAATATGGCAGATGGACGTCAAAAACTCCTTCTTAAATGGTATTTTGGAAGAAACTGTGTACATGAATATCCTAAAATACCTGAAAAGGAACAAGGATATATTCCTGGTGTATGGTGGTTAAGAGGAGTTAGTTGTTGAAGGTTATACCGACCCGAGCTTCCAGACAGACAGAGACGATTTCAAATCGCTATCTGGATATGTATTCTGTCTAAATGGAGGAGCGTTCAGTTGGAAGAGTGCCAAGCAGAGTACAACTGCAAATTCTACAACTGAAGCCGAGTACTTAGCAGATGCTGAAGCGACTAAGGAGGCCGTTTGGATTCGTAAGTTCATTGGTGAACTTGATGTTGTACCCTCCATAAAGGATCCAATAGTCCTCTATCGTGACAACAATGGAGCTATTGCTCAGGCCAGAGAGCCAAGGGAACATCAGAAAGTCAAACATGTCAAACGGCGATTTCACATGATTTGAGAATGGAAATCAGAAAGTGAAATCAGAATTCGCAAAGTTACACTACTAAAAAATGCACTAATTCTCGACGCCTTGCCTCGACGCTATGAATTGGGTGTCAGTGGAAATTTTGATTTCCGTGTTTTTGCAACGCTTTTCAGCGTCCTCACTTATCATGGACTTTGAAAAGCGTCTATAATATTAACCCCGTGATAAGCAATGTGTTCTAGCCTGCAAACTCAAACAAATTGGGGAAAATGATAAAAACCGCTCCTCCTTTACTCTCCATTCTCTAATAATTAAACCCTAGCCTTTCACTAAAATTCTCTTTTAGGATTTCATCCTTCTCCAAAATCACAATCCTAGCAACAAGTTAAATTGAAAGATGCTCTACGAATTCATCAAATCTGGTAGACTAATTTTTTTTTGGTATTCTTTCATTTCTCTTTAGATTTTCATTTTTAGAATATTTATTTTTATGCTGCTTCATTTTTTTTCCTGATGTTTTTTTTTTATAATTTATCATTGAGGAAGAAGAGATCGATAAAGAAAGCTATGAGTTTGAAGTCGTTTCAATATCAGATGTTAAAAAAAAATTCTGCTATCGAATTTCTACACCCAAACCCAAATGTCGCCAAGCTTATCCGCCCCTTTACTTTCAGGTAATTTCTCTCATCTTTATTACTATCTGTAGTATTTTTATGCAAATATTTGAGTATGTAATTTTGGTTTAAGTAAGTTTGTTTTGATAATTTGGGAATTTTGTTATTAATTGAATCTTTGTAGTCCTAGATCCCTGAGGTGTGGGTTAGTTTGATGCAACATGAAAATGAAAATTAACTTCTAGATAATATTGCCAATATCGTGTCATTAACAAGTTAGAATGTTCTTAATTCTTTGTTATTTAGTGCATGTGATAAAAATTTGGGTCTGTGTTCATACAATGCAATCTTTCTAGTATAGTAGCAGAGAGACACTTAGTGACATCTAATTTATTTATTTTGATTTTGATGGTATGATAAATATATACTAATAGATAGAATTAATGGCTTGGCTCGGTTCTATAGTATACTTAAGCTTAGCGGTTAAAGATCACACTAATAAGCTGCTCTTTCTAAACAAATTATTATGCAATTTATATCCCTTCATTATTATCATTGTGCTTGGTATATATCGAATAAGTGTCTTGTCATCGAGAGAATACAAACATAATCCTTAATTATATTAGTATCTGGTTATATAGAGAATGCTTATATGATATGGTTTAAAAGTGAGGTACCTCTGTTCTATGGCTAGCCTGATGAAGACTAGTTGTGTGCTTGTGTTCCTTAGATCATCATATCTATGTCCTGATTTGCTCGATATATTTTACTCTATTTTATATGCTTTACCATGAGATTGACAGACCTACCTTTTGCCTGTATTCGATGAAAAAGTTGATTGTTCCAAATTATTTGGCATTGATCATGATGATAACGCACATGCTTCATATATATTTGTCTTTTTCTCTCATTTTCCTTTCTAAGGACTCCACACTAAGAGCACTTGTGGAGTAGTCGGATTCGATCCCCTGACCTTTGAATTGTGTGGGATGTTCTAGCCACCTCAGATCCCCCGTGCCTCAACTTTCAAAGTATAATGAAAAGTAGTTCCAAACAAAATATAGAATTTATGTTCCTCTTAAGAAATATGTTTCAAGGGTATAATCTAACAAACACTATTTTGCTATGCAATTGACATCCTCTTATTCTCTTTATATTCTACTCTCTCAGCTCTTAATTTATTTCATCACTCGGGTTTAATAAAGTATTGCAGAGCTTTTGTGTGGGGCATGGGAAGTAAAAATTGTATTATCATAATCTAAAAATTGGGATGGAAAGTGTACCTGCAAAATAACGGAGACTCCTGGGAGCTCCGCCTCCAACGGTCAAGTTAGTACTTGATTAAGGAGTAATTAATGCGGAAATTAAAGTGATTGGGTCTCTCTAGGTGAGAGTGTTTAGTGTAGGTAATCTGCTTTGTTAGCGAGATCAGCCGGTTATTACTGTGTGTAATTAATGTGTTTTTTCCGTTCTCCCCCCTTAATGAGGATTAAGGGAGGTATTTATAACCTTGGGAAACGTGCCCATCCTAGGTTTAGGTTAACCTAGGGCCGGTTGGGCTTCCCTCGGAAATTGGGCCTGGGTGGCCGGTTTCTCCATTAGGCATGGAGTATGCCACATGTCATGACATAACAGGTCCAAGGTGGATGAATAAGCGCGTGCCACGTGGCAAGCCCTGACAGATCCAACTGGGGGACACTTGGCAGGACCTGATTGGTCCACGTGGCGCATTCCGATTGGAGGCGCAAAATCTCCTAATCAGAAAGTATTATTATATTACATAAAATGAGGGCAAGATGGTACAAACATTAGTGTATGTAAGTAATGTAACAGTGGGGCAAGTGGATACATGAAGTGTAAGAAAAATAATAAAGTTGTGTCCTATCCGTAGTTGGAATTAATGCAATTATTAAGAAATGGCTAGGAGGAGAGAGTGAGAGGGAGAGAGAATATAGCCTACTAGTTTCTGATTGGCTGAAGGAGTCCATATATAGATGATTCAAGTTTTGCTCAATCTATTTGATAGTGGTACAATTGTGTAACAGTTTCTAAAATATTTTGTAGTTCCTCTCTATAGTGATTAAATGAAAAAAGGATTGAATAAGAATTTCAACATATGATCACTATGAGTCTGTGATTTCGTGTAGAACAAAGTGGATTCATAAACTACCACTAAACATATCTTCAAGTAAACTTATATAAGGTCCAGTGTTTCTACTACAATGGGCCATATCAACACATACCTAGTAATATGTGAATAATACTTGTAAATGGAATTGAGATTCTTCTGCTGATGTATCAATCTACATATTTCATTACTTTAGACGGTAGACCTTTTGGCTCAGACTTTTACACTCATCTATACTATAGTTTTTTATTACGTATATTAACATGCCTTCAGTCTTGTCTGTATTTTTTTTTACTATACATGCTTTTACGTCTAAACTGATGTAACATTGACAATATAGTTGTTACTTTATCATTCATATATTGCAAAATATATTGTGGTGTTGTTGCTGTGAAGCACATATGATTGTTGTCCATGAATTTTCTAGACTCTTCCTTGTGTGAAGTCATTACAAGTTGTACTTACATTCAATGTTGACTTGTTTACAATGTGTTGGTGACAGATGAGATGGAAGAACGAATTATTGTATCATGAGAAGACAATTGGTTCTCTTTTGGGTTGGTGCTTGTAACCCGAGCAAAAAGGATTTCTTATTATCTCAGTCCTGAGACTAACTGGATTTCGTTGTTTGTGGAATGTGCAGGTATTAATGTGGGGCATCAGTTTTATTCTCGAGCTGAGATGACTACAGAAGGATTTCATAGTCATTGGCTGAATGGGATTGATTATATTGGACAATCTAAAGGAAAAAAGGTGAGTTAGTTAAGATGAGATTTAATGGATAGATTGGTCATAATTTTATTGAATCTGTTCATTTGCAGCTGCTGTTTTCAGCTGTATTTTGCTTTGATGGATTGTCATGGTTTGTATTTAAGTCTTACTTTAAATAAGAAGTGGAAAATTTCACTAAATTGTGACTAAAAATGCTTATTACTTTCTCTAATTTGTAATATTTCAGGAAATTGAATTTATTTCCTAGAGGAGAGGCTAAAGATAGTAAATGCCTCTCATTATTTCTGCACCAAGACAATAGTTTTGGGCTAACTGATGGTAACAAACTGTATGTTGAATTTATTCTTTACTTGAAGAATCAACGCCAAGGAAAAGACGACTATCACAGTAAGATAACTTCTAAGTTTTAACACGTGACATCTTATTTCTTATTTTTAAAAATTAGCTAGTGTCCTATGGAATTTATAATTTTATTTATTTATTCAAGCTCAAACGATTGGGGCGGGCTACCCATTCTTTCATTCTCTCAGTGACCTACATGATACTTCAAAAAACTACCTAGTAGACGATACCATAATTATTAAAGTTCGTATTCAGAAGATGATTTTGGTGAAAGATAATATGGCTTCTGTCTAGCAGAATTGATGTATGTCCAATAAAAAACAATTATGTGATTCAATGTACAAAGAAATTGATGCAAGCATGTCACATGTACAACATTCCAGGCCATGAAACTTGACGTATGCATTTAGATTATTGTTTTGAATTCATTCATATAAAGTTAATCTTCTCGTACTAGCTAAGTAGTTTCAACATTTTCGGGTTTATTGTTGATGAGGTGCATCAAGACGTGAACATGATGACCTATGATCACTTTATTTATTTCAAGCTAATATATCGTATACTTCCTTGTTAATACTAGAAATATCCAAAAACGAGTGGTTGCTTTCATTAACCAAAACAACCTGTTTTAATTTTAAATAGTGTGCCTCATGTCCACTCTTTGCATCTAGACTCGAGCTCCCCAATCGCCTTATTGTGCCATGTGTATGTCTTTTCAAACAAGGCCATAGCATGCAAAGATTGGCATTGATATGATTGCCAAATTAGCTGATCGTGCCAAAGTTGTTGATACTCTCAAAGACCTTGCATATAAGGTTATGCTCAATTTGTACTTTCTTCCTATTTGATAAGAGAATGATCTGTGTTTTTGTTTACAGGTGGTTCTTATCTGGACCTTGGCCACTTTCTCTTCTGCATCAATTTTGTGATTGAATTGTTTTCCTCATGCATTTTAGGTAGTGTAAAAGAGTTCTTCATGATATAGCTTAAACATGTATACATGTGCATTGCTATGATTTGGGCAAATATATTATGTTGGGCTGGTTAAAAATTGCAGAAAATGGTTAAGTGGTCTGGCACTGCTTGTTGGCATATTTGCATAACTATAAAGTTATGCAGTTACAAGCATTTGGCATAATACCTTGACTGTTTTTATTTAATACTGTTTGTCCTCTAGCTAAATTACCATATTAGTGAATTTAATAAAAAGTAGCCTGCAATTTCCCCAAGACCGTTGCTGCTAATGGTAATGTTTGTGTGTTGCCATGTGTTGTTTGTTGTTTCTGTCCTCTTCTCCTGCGGTATGTCAGAATGTGTGGAGGCGGTGGTGAGTGTATTGCAGAATTAAGATCTAAAGTTCAGAACTGAAAATTAGATGTAAAATAATAGCTGAAATTTAAAATGCTTGTGTGTGTGTGTGAAATTAGAGCTTGTGTGTATGTGTATAAGCGTCGATTATCCTTTTTATTAGCTTTTTCGTTGTTTATCTTTACTTATATACTTGTTGAACCTCATTTAAATTGTTTTATCTTATTCTTTGATATTTATCATGGTATAATCATGGTGCTTCATTATACTTGGTTTATACAAAGACTTTTTTTAGTTTCTATTGTGGACTAGTTCTTAATATGCTCTAAATGTTATAGTTTACTCAGCATGGTTTAAATACATTGGTCTTTTCATTGTTGTTTAAATACAACATGTTGAATGTTGAGCCTATATTGTGTAATCTGTGAGGCCGAGGAGGAATCTGTGATCCACGCAGCTTTTGATTGCTCTACAGCAAAGGATATTTGGGTAGCCAGTCCTTTTTTTGCTCAAATTCAGTAGGTCCTGGCTTTCAGCTTTATTGAGAGGCTGCTATGGCTCTTAGAAAATGTTTCAAGACCTTAACTAGTTACGATTGCCACGCTAGCTTGGCTTAATATGTCCACCTTTGAGTAGAATTCATTTATTGACGTTGAGGTTGCCAGGAGGTTCGTGAGTATGGTGCGTGAAAGTAATGAGTATGCTAGAAATGTTGCTAGCAGACCCAGCCAAATCTGCCCACCAGTCAGTTCGTGGAGCTGCCCAATTCAGGGAAGGGTTAAGGTAAATTGTGATGCCCTTTGGGTGTTAAAACTGTCTTGGGGGCTGTGATCAGAAATGATCAAGAGACTATTGTTGTGCTGCAGTGAGGCAGGAGGGTGGGAGGGATGTAGAGTGTGCAAAAGCTGCCTGTCAATATGGTCTGCTTGTGGCGAAGAGGTTGGGATACTCTGATGTTCATCTTGAAAGTGATGCCTTGAATGTGGTGAATGTTGTCCGAAACAATGCCAAAGGATTTTCCCTTGTGTTTCTCCTATATGATGATATTTGAAGGTGTTGACACCCATTTGTGTCTCCCCAAAACCAAACCCGGTGATGAGTACCTTTCACGTCGAATCGTAATCGAATAAAGTGAAAGTGTGGAAAGTCTAGTGTTGTAGATAGTGTGAATAAAAGATTGTTTTTGAGGAAAATACAATTTTATCCTCCTCTACGGCTAAATTTTATCTGAATTTAGAAAACGCGTAAGAAAACTTATTAGCGCTTAACGCCAGCATTAGCGCCAGGCGCTAAGCGGTAGCATTAGCGTCTGGCGCTAATTTCGTTTTTTCACGTCAGAACTTTGGTTTATTTTTCTATCTTTTTTGCTGATTTTCTCTATAAATAGCCTCTTAAAATCTCCGTTTTCAACCATCTACAATCTACAATCATCAACTCTCTAGTTTTCTAATTCACTCTAAGGCTAAAGCTTTCTTTCTCACTTTTTTAAACCAACCTTCATACAAAATTCCGCATTCACAAGACCTGGAAACACCTAACATAGTTCGAAGTTGCCTTCGACCTAGACGTGAAAGGTTTTAATTTCAGAGGGTTTTGTCCCAAATCTCTATTTCAATTATTTAATTTAATTGTTTGATTATTATTTTTCTTGAAGTTACTAACGTGTGTATTTTGTTATTAGAAAAAGGTACGAGACATCTAAGTAAGTGTTTTAATTGATTTTATTGTTATTATGATGTAGAAATCATGCTTAGGTTGTTATTATGATTCCAAGCGTCATGTTAGGGCATTTTGATCTTCATAGTATCATGTTTAGGGTAACAACTAAAAAATCCTAATATCAAGTATGATTAAAAGTAAGATGCATTTTATATTCTTCCAAATATTTATGATTGTTAGTATCATGTTAGGGTTAAAACTTTGATTTTAAATGTTTAGTGACATGCTAGGGTTTGTTATTAATCTTGTTAGTATCATGCCCTAATATCTTGCTATTATTATTATGCTTTAACATGATTATGATTATTTTTATGATTTATGATTATAATTGTCATAATTATTGTTATGATGATTATTATACTTATTATTATTATTATTATTATTATTATTATTATTATTATTATTATTTTAATTATTATGATTATGATTATGGTTATTTTTATTATTATGATTATTATGTTGCTTGATATTTATTGTTATTGCTTGATCATATCTTTTATGAATATTTAAAGGGATTTGGTACTTGTAATCACGCTTAATAAGATAATTAATAATTTTATTTAGGGTTAATACGATTATAATTCAAGTTATCGCCAATAATAGTTTTTCTGCGCATTAATATTAAACCAACATAGAAAAATAGGTTTAGGGGTAATCCTATTGATTGTATGTTAGTCAGAAAGCGCTCATGAATACGATCTAAATAAAGTAGAGGCCTATTATTAGGGCATGTTCAATATCTTTTAGGTTGGATTTGTACCTTCATCCCCGAACTACCAGTCATGGTTCCAGACCTATTGGAGTTGACGATCTCCTGGAACGTTAAGGGGTGTAACCTTCACCCTGTGAACGGTTTACAAGTTCCTAAAACTTTTTGGCGACTCTTTTGCTCTATCTTCCTTCACTTTGGACGCCACCGTACTTTAGTGTATGATCACAGTGGGGTTCAAGCTAGGTATAATGTTTGAAATATTCCCTACAGTTATTGGCGACTCCGCTGGGGACGATTTCTATATTAATTCCTAAAATTTATTTTGGCAATGATTTAAAATGAGTGGATGAGACTCGAAAAGTTATAAGTATTTCATGTGCGTAATTTTGATTAACATTATTGTCATATGCATAAAAAAAAAGATCTTATTGAAAAGACCATCCGTATTGAGTTAAAACATAGGATTTTTACACGTAGGAAATTTGAGGAATATCTTTCACAACTAGGATCGAAATAATGCTGCGCAAAACTAGAAAATTTTATCGAGCACAGAAAGCTACTGAGGCATGTAGGAACTAGCGTCAGCGAACAAAGATTAGCGCCAACATTTTGACGTTAGCGCAAGGCGACAGCTTCTGTCGCTAGGAGCTAAAGCCAAAAGAAGGCACTGGACTCTGTTTGCTGGCGCCAAGTTCTTCCAATACCGAGCCAGAAATATGCGTTATAATTTTGACCAATTTTTAGCACTATTTGCTCGATCCTACTTCCTGATTGAGTTTTTCTCACTTTTCTGAAACCCATATGTGTTCTATATATGGACATAACCCTCTGGGAATTCATGCTCCATCTACCTGATTGAACGCTCTGAGCAACAAAGGGTACATCCGAGAATGTTGAATTTACCAAACCATAGAAGCGAGTTTTTCTAAACTCGCGGTGTCCCAACCACTCGCGCCAACCCTTCACGGTTGGGCTTCTGCGCGGTGCATCGGACACCATGGACCCTTTATTAACTAACCCATATCCCAAATTTTAGAGAACTAGGGCCATGGTTAGGTTGAAAACTCATTGCATCATGTTGTGCCTACTTGACTAATTGTGTATTATTTGTTGTGCATACTTTATGTGCTTTTCTCAACCGTTTGCTTGACTTGTGCTAAGATTAAATAAACTGATTTATGACTAAAAATAACTTTGCCTAACTAATTAATTAATTTATTTGACTAAATAAAGTTTAATATTTAATCAGAGTTGACTTAGTACGACTTTAGGCATACACTGTAAAGTAATTATACCGGAAATAGTTTTAGATTGACGCTCCAGCAATGGCCCCAAAATTTGAACTGTAGCGCCACTCTGTGGAGTGTAGCGCCTGGCGACAGTCCTGTCGTCTGGCGCTACACTACAAAGGAGGCGCCAGTCCTGTTGTTTTGGCGACAGTTCAGTTTATCGCTCGAGTCATAAATTTATGTCTAATTGAGCAGTTTTCTAGTCGATTCGGTTAATTTTTATTGATAATTATACCTTGTTAAGTCATTAATCGAGTCTAAGAATTATGTCCCATGGTCTTACACAAGAGTCAAAGCTTGTCACTTACATTCACCATATAAAGCACACACTAATGTACACTTTGACCATGTCTAAGGGAGTCTTGTATGCGCATATTTCCCGTCATTTTTTTAGAAGGTTAAGTCGGATATTAATCCTCCAAATATATAACTTTTTTGAACCCTATACTTAACTCCCAAAAATATATACCTTATTCTCTGCCAAAAATATGCACTTATTTTTTGCTTTTTCTCTTTCAAACCGTAAAGTCAAGGTCAATTTGAGTCAAATAATTAAAACAAAAATGGTTTAATTTACAGCGCGTGGTCAAGAAAGGAAGGGCGTTTAATCAAAGACAACCTCTTTATCCAAGTCCAACTTTTCGACAAACCCATCGATCGTAAGAGGAAATCTAAGACAATAATGGCAACTCAAGAGGAAGTCAATGAGCTCAGGAACCAACTGATTACTGTTACTGAGGCGTTAAAGGTTCTGACCCTCAAGATTGATGATCCTGTGAAACAAGAACAGATGGACCTCATGCAAGAGAGTCTGAGCAAACTGTCTAGTGACTACAAGTTTCAAGGGATTAGCTCACAAGGGGTCTCGGTGGACAAGGATCTTCTTCCACAGAAGTTCAATGATAACGACATCGCGAAATTCAAAGCAACTGACAACCCTTACTTTCATTTAAGAGCTTTCGAAACAATAATGAGTATTAAGGGTATTGACAAGAAGGTGTTTCCCTCTCTGTTCTCACTATCTCTCGAAACCATTTGTCAGCAAAGGTTCTTTTTTCTTGAGAAAGAAAGAACCTCTACTTGTGAGTCCATAGTAAAAGCTTTCATTGATAGATAAAAATGCAATATTCAAGTTGAGACTGACTATAAGGAACTTGAAATCCTCAAGCAAAAAGAGAATGAAGGTTTCACCTCTTTCTTTAACAAATGGAGTGAAACCTCAGCTAAGATAATTGAGGTGCCAAGTGAAAAGAGTCTGTAATTTTATTCATTAAAAACCTTCAATAGAAGTACTCCAAGCATCTCAAATACCAGAATAATCTCCATACCTTCAAGGTTGTCTACGACATTGGAATTAATATTGAAGACGACCTGGCTAAGTTGAAAGCTTCTAATAATAACTCCAACAATTGCTGGAAAGGCAAGAAGAACGACAATCCTTCTTCTTCTAAAACCACCCACTCAAATAATGTTGGTACCTTTGACTTAAGTGAAGTCCTTGCTATGAATAATCAAGGACAAAAGAAACCATTTAGGAGGAACTTTACACTTATTGGTATGAGTTATGACACCACATTTGACCGATTAAATGCAAAAGGTCTTATAACTCCTATTGAACCATTTGGGGACCCACCAGTCGAAAATAGAATGGCTAATTGGAACCCCAATGCACAATGGAAGTATCACCAAGGTAGGGGCCATCTTACCGAGAACAGTTGGAAGCTTAAGGAAGCTAGCCAAGACTTAATCGACAATAAGAAGCTACCATTGCCCCCTGCTAGTAAGAAGCCAAGTATTGATAATTCACCTCTTGCTCACTCCTTGGCCATCTCTATGAGGAAAATGATGTTGATCCCTCATCTCTCATCAAACCTGTCAAAGAAATCTATGCTATCGAAGAAGAGGAGGAGATCTTTTTCGATGCCATGGATAACCTTCCAAAATTAGCAAGTAAAGAGGACATACAATTGCTTACACTGTCCATGTTGGAAGGATCAAACTTGCTACGTGAAGCCCTCGAAGTTGTGAAGGAACTTCAGAAGATATATGACGAGGTTCCACCATCGAAAAATAAACCTAGGAAAGAGTTCACACCCATGGGAATGACCTATGAAGCGAAACACTTTCCTTTGCAAGTAATCGATAAACCCAAGAAGAGTAATACACTCCACACTCCAATTGGGATTCCATATGCACAAATGTTCAAAATGCTCTCCGAGAGTGACGAGATCAAACCTCTCGAACCGAGACCATTTGAATCGTTAAAAAGGACAGATAGATTTTATTGTCAATATCATCAATCAGGGGGTCACACTATTGAAAACTGTTTTAAATTTAAGGATTTAATTCAGAAAATGATTGATGATAAGAGGCTAGTTCAAGTTCCACAAGAAGAAGACATAAATATTAATGGAGTTTGGGACACCGACGAAGAAGACGTTTACTTGAAAGACATGGTAGGACCTCCACCTTCGGTGTCATATGCCATGGATGACTTCTGGGGATTCATCCATAGACGTCCTCACAAGATCCGGGAGGATGCAACCTCCTGTTTCGACA